CCTACAATAAATAGTCGTAGTTTAATGAATTGAGGAACACGTTTTTATAGACAGCCAAACGTAGTAAAAGTAGCAAATTGAATAATGAAAGCGTTTGGATAAAAAAAAAAAATAGAAAATACTGATTACGAAGGTGCTAATATTTTCTAAGTTGTGTAGGTATTTATTCACACGCTTTCATTATTTTATTTCCTACTTTTTTTCAGTTTGGCTTTCTATACAGGGTGTAAATTTGGAAACTTTCAATGCGAATATCTCGTGAAATAAAAAAGTTAAAAAAACGCCGCTTGGCACAAATGCTAAAGTGTTAGGAAGAACTAGAACCACCATATTTCAGTGAATGGATGAGTCACCCTGTCAGCGCAATACACCCCAACTTTGAAATGTCAAATGGCACTACCTCTTTTGTGATACCTCAAATGAACGGTCTCAGTCAGTAGTATTCACCTGTACAAGACTTTTTTTCCACCCACTACAGGGTGTACGAAAAACATCAATCAGAGGGTCTAAATTTGAAAACTTTCAATGCGAATATCTCGCTAAATAAAAAAGTTAGGAAAACGCCGTTTGGCACAAATGCTACAGAGTTAGGGGGAACTAGAACCACCATACTTCAGTAAAGGGATTAGTCACCCCGTCGGCGCGACACACTCCATCTTTGAAATGTCAAATGGCACTACCTCTTTTGTGATACCTCAAATGAACGGTCTCAGTCAGTAGTATTCACCTGTACAAGACTTATTTTCCACCCACTACAGGGTGAACGGAAAACATAAAGTCGAATAAAATGAAATGCAGAATGCCGATATATATTCCAAGAGATTTGTTCCAAAATGTTAGAATGGCATTTGAACATCGATTATACTATTGCTTACAACAGAATGGAATGCATTTTGAACATCTGATCAAATAAAATATCCTTTAAACACAATTCATTTTATTTTATTCGACTTTATATTTTTCGTACACCCTGTTGTGGATGGAAAAAAAGTCTTGTACAGGTGAATACTACTGACTGAGACTGTTCATTTGAGGCATCACAAAAGAGGTAGTGCCATTTGACATTTCAAAGTTGGGGTGTGTCGCGCCGATGGGGTGACTCATCCCTTGACCGAAACATGGTGGTTCTAGTTCCCCTTAACTCTTTACCATTTTTGCCAAACGGCGTTTTTCTAACTTTTTTCTATCGCGAGATATACGCATTGGAAGTTTTCAAATTTACACCCTGTATAAGCGTGTTCCGTTAATTTTTCGAACTATTTATTTTGAATTTTTTAGTTCGGCCAACTACAAAACCTTGTATTTTAGTTTCTTATTTATTCTTTGTAACTACCGCCCGCAGTGAAAATGGGTGATTTTTGCGCATCTTTTGCCTTCCTTGGATGTCGTAACCGTTTGTCAGGCTTCCTCTCCGGAAACTGCATTTCGTACAAGTTCTGTATATTGATTAAAGCAATATTGATATAACACATAAGGACGAGTCAATTTGAAAAATATATGTTGTTCCAGATTTGAGCTAACAAGAACCTCGAATTCTTCAGCTACGCTTCGGCCTGCCTGATTCATGATAGGATGACCACGCAGTGTAGACTATCTCTGAGGACCTCGCTCGGGACCTCGTATCCACCAAGAGTCCTTGTTGATCTTTGAGAGGCTTCTTTTCGGGCTTCCTTTCCTCCTAGGTCTTGGCTTAGTAGATGAGTTTGAATTTGACGATCCCACATCTTTCGAAATATGTTGGTTGATACCTAGTGGCTGTTATATTCGCTTTTCTATTAATGATCAAATCTGATGAAATTATTGGAACACGACCATCGTTGAATTCGTGCCAGATGTTCGACTACGAATGTTTGCAGTAGGCTGTATAGTGACCACTGTTAATGGTACCGCTGTGGTTCGAAATAGCATCAAGATCGTAGTGGAATGGTTCACTTCCATCGGCAGCGTAATGACTCATATCCAGTCAGTCTAAAAGTACATCAACTAAGGCGTACAGTTTTTTCACGAAAGGATTCAGCGAGAAACGTTTCAGATGGATGACAAGAATTTCTTTCAGGGAACCTCTGAATATATAAACTGGGCGTCAATTGAAACGTTAATAGTGAAATTTGGCATCAAGTTTGACTTCTCGTAATTTCTAAAATATTGAACGGATTTTGAATTGCCGCCCAGATTTTGAATGCCTTTTTCATCGTCTTTCGAACCGTTCCTTACAGCTTCTTCTAAATTGATCAGGACCCGTGATACAGGGTGAAACAAAGTTTCGTGCATTTTGAAAAAAATTTCTCCGCCCCCCCCCCCATTTTGTCAGAAGACCACGATGCTCATATTTTATTCGAGAATTTCATGAATAGCATCACGAAACACCACGAGAATGTCACGAAACACCACGGAAATGTCACGTATCACCACGGATATTATAAGCAAGGGTAGTAGATGCCGAGGTGGATGCTTTTCCTGTTCTCATTCAGGGGCAAACATTATTTTTACGCGTTTTCGAGTTTGGGGTGCACATGTGCCTTTCAAGGTCAGATTTACGTGACGGTTGATGTGGAGCATAAATACTGAAGACGGTTGAGGAATTCCTATCTCTTCTGATTCTCTGACACGGCTCTCTTGATGCTCGCTCTTAGTGCTCTCATACCAGTATGAAATATTATTGTATAGTGATTTCATGTTGGACATGTGAGTTTCTATAAAGTTCTCAGAATTCCACCCTGTGCATAATTTCTGTTGTTTTCTGATACGATAATCGAGCGATAATTACCCGATCCTGAATATAAAATGCCCCGAAAAGTACCAGTATCATTCGTACTCTTTTAGAATAAACGTTTTTGTGCTCACATTCGATTTATTTTGTTCCTTTTTTGTTCCCAATGTTTCATTCAATAATCTCATAATTTCCAAGTCGAACATTTGGGTCATGCGACCCTAGAGCTATGTGTGTGTATTTATGTGATGTTCCTGTCGTGGTTCTGTGATCTGTATTCGGGAATTTGTCATTGAGAGAAGATGAAAGTCAACTCCAAATATTCCTGATTCGAACTAGAACATTGGAGGAAACGGAAAAATAAACGAATTGGATCTGTTTCAGTCGTTTGGAACTGTCTTTCTGATTCTCCAGGTAAAATTAATGAAATAGTTCCAGTACATAATTTTCCAGGCATAACCTCGAAATACCAGGGACTGTTTTCCACAATGGTTGGCGAAATTCCTGCGATGATATAACAACCAATTAAGCAACATCCAGTATTTCAGACTGAATCCAGAGTTTGTAATTCATGTCTACATTCTCTCGTCTTCTGATTTACGTCTGTGCAATAACATGATCCCTGGTTCCTCGCCTGGTTCATATATCATGTGGGTACCGAAGTTATCACTTTCTGTACCTGTCTCAAATGCTACTATCCAGACATCCTTGCAAATTCAGTTGTAGGAGCTGGTGAAGTGAATCACATTTATCAAAAATCTGGCGCCCGAGATATCCGAAACAAATAACAGTAGTCTCTGACCAAACAGCGTCAAAGTAGGAGCTCCCTAAATACAGCTAATACTTTTTTTCCATACCCTCAAAACCTCACAACATTATGATTTTAATAAAAATTGTAAACTAGTCTCGAGCTTTGGCGCGCCGTGGAGCAAAATCCTCGGCAAAATCTATCTAATCTAATCTACTGGTAGGAACAAAAAACGTACGTGGAGACGAAAGCTTTTCACAATTTTGTTCTCTACATATTTCATTCAGGTTTTTTTTGTAGCACCTACCCCAACGGTGCTATTTTCCATCAAGCGCCGCGAATCGGAAATATCATCCCCTCACTCCTCGAGCGGCAAACCCACGAGGTCGTATGCTCAAGAGGACTATCAGAAAACCTATCTCCAACATTCCACAAAATTTCATTTCTTTTCTACCTTTTGCGAATAGGAACTCTTTATCGCTCAGCCTATATTATTTTCCAGAATGAAATAGTTCTTCAGGAAATTACTCGGATAATGCATCAAACTCACATGAGTTTTTCTTCAGCCTTTGATATATCAAATTGATATCGAGAGTTCTGCAGAGTTAAAATCCACATGGTGGATAATCATATAACATGTGCTACTTGGGTACATAGAAATTGAAGAATATAATATTGAAATTTATCAAAAGACTGATGCATTATTCCCTTTCCTTTTCGTGCGCTACAAAAGATAAAAAATGTCGGGCATAAGATCAAACAGTGTGTAAACAGACGGTATGAAAACGGAAACGTCCGCGCCAGAAAATAAATACTTATTGGAAAACCTCGTGTATGACGACAGTTTGCACACGTAACCGATTAACCATTTGTTGTACAGTGTTCAGGAGTCGGTTTAAATCATTTTTATCAGCATTTTATATTTTGATTTGACTCAATATCGATGGACACACGTGAAACTGATTTTTCAACTAGAAATACTCGACAATTAAAATTCTAATGAGTCGAGAATATATTTTCTCTGAATAGCATCTATCAATATTAATTATTTTCTTCATGAAATCTACATATCTGACTGAAGTGATAATTTCATAAGGGAGTACGCCCTCTAGTACCTACTCCTAATTAGTTATACATATAATCTGTCGAAAAAAATATTTCTGATGTTACTATAATGAATCTCATGGCATTAAAGTATTTCTACTCCGCGAGACTATTTTCAACAATTTAAATCCCGCTCAATCCGTAGGATTTTGGAGCTGGATCATGAGAAACACAAAGTGAAATCAATTGACGATCAAGATGAAGAATATGTAATATGTAATTAGTTATATCTTCAGAATTCTTCATTTCAATCGAATCAGTTTCAATTCGTGCGACAACAATCGAACCAATATACAACAAAGACTTTTCAACTCAGTGCCTTGGCTGATCTTTATATGGTCAAAAGGCAAAGTTGGTATGAAGAAATCCAGTGAAGTTAAGTCTACCTATATCCAATCAAAGAGGGCACAATCACACTCTCACATTCACCACATTTACCTTGATTTTTCACTGGCCCACACGCGATTTCCCGATTGTCAGTGGTATCTATATACTAGATTATATTATATCGAAGGAAATAGTAGAAACAAATAGCTACTACATCCATTCGCGTCCGCGACTCGACAGCGAATATCGTGAATAAAGAAGAAGTGGGAAATGGGCAATGTACCTACCTACCGCAAAGTTGAAATGTCAGCTAGTGCTCGCGATACAAAAGCAAGGCCGCGAACGCCCGGTATGAATAGTGGCTTTTTGGAGGACAATGTCGCATATCTACGATGTCACTTGTCTATGAAGATAGTGTGAACTATGAACTATTTTATCGACATGATAATATAATATCAGGTTATGTTGGGCACCACATCACGGGGCTGATGGCTTGGCTACCACCATGTTGTTCCATATTATGATTGTATGCCCAGGATCGCATGCTGGGATACCACGATATTGAACATGTTGGGAAAAAAAATTTGGAGTTTCTGTAGGTATGAATTGTATGTTAATTTCTATTTTTTCTCTTGCGCTTCTTCGGTGATCTGTTAGTTTCACATTAGCAATATCAATCCAATATATCACTCAAAATGTCTAGATTCAAATACCGATAAAATCTCAGAATTCGTTCTAGAAAATCATTGAACGTTCCAGCGTTGAAATCATTCCATCATGGGATTCCTTCTATTACAGTCTTCAAAAGATCCCATCTAGAATAGTAGCAGGTCGTCAAACTGAGGCCTTCGCCATCACTCATGGTCTAAAACAACTAGTAGAACTACCAACCCGCATTAAACAGCCAGTCTGCCAATACACTAGATCTTCTTCTCACCAGCAATCCTGATCCATATACAATAGGAGTTTGTGCCCCACTAGGAAACTCTGACCACACCCTCATCTCCACATCCTGCTCTTTCCATGTACCATCCAGCACCACAATTCCTACCCGTCTCATGTGGAATTACAATTTGGCCGACTGGGAAGGTCTTCGTATGTTTTTTCAGCGTTTCCTTGGAAGAGAGTTTGTTTCTCTTAAGCAAATCCAACACAATGTGCTAAGACAATTTCTGAAATCATCATGTTGGGGATGCAAACCTACATACAGAACACTGCAAGGAGAGTCTCTCCATGTAGTGGTCGACAGAGTTTCATCTGACTCTCTTATCATAAATATCATAAATGCTGATGGTCCGAAAGGATCAATTCTAGCATCAACACTATTTCTACTCCATATCAACGATTTGTTAGAAGCAACTTCATGTCCAGGGCTCCAATACCAGCCAGGCAAATCAGAAACGAACAAGGGAGAAATATTGACAACATAAATATGGACTTGGCACCAATACTCTATTGGGGATACAATAACTTGGTAGATTTCAATGCAATCAAAACACAACCATGGCCTTCCTCTAGAAAAGCCAATCTCACTGTGCCCAACATAAGGTTGTCAGGAGTAACCATACCTTCGGAGGCATCCATTTCGATGCTTGGTATCACTATCAGCAATAACCTTTCTTGGGAAAATCACGTGAGATCAATTGCTTAAAGTGCATCCCAAAAACTTGATTTTCTGTTTCGGACCTGGAGCTATTTCACTTCCAGTAAGCTGCTCATGATTTATGAGGCACATATCCGACCTGACCTGGAATACGGTACTGTTTCCATATTTGGAGTGCAGCACCCAAACATACCCTGATACTGTTGGACTTTGTCCAAAAAAGAGCAATTCGTCTCGTAGATGATGCCTCACTCACAAAATCACTCACTTCTCTGGAACACCGTAGAAAAGTTAGCGATCTGGCTCTATTTTATAGATATTTTCATGGACGATGCCCTTCTGAAATATCAGCAATTGTTCCTCCATTGGCAGTCCCCGCGAGATTACCCCGTCGAGTTGAGGCTTCGCACTCCTTCGTTGTCACTTCAAAGACGTGCGGAACATCTCTTACCAAAAACTCGTTTATCCAACGAACAGCGAGGCTCTGGAACACATTGCCAAGGGAGGTGTTTCCCGAGGCATATAACCTCCAGAAATTTGAGAAGAACACCAATTCCTACCTTATTTCCCTTCGTTCTCATGATGTTCTCTGAACATTACAGGATACTCCTTTTCTTGGGAACCGGAACTTAAAAAAAAGAAGTCCACTAGACATCAGGTAGTTTCTTCCACCGAACAAAAATAATTCACAATAGCTAATTCTCCTCTCTGATGAGATCTAACCATATCAACACTAAAATGGTGTTGAAATTAGTCACGTTCCAGATCGATATCCTTCTTCCTCCTCCACAACATAATTATTCCAGAGCAGGTTAGCCGTAGCCTTTCCGTGGCAAAAAATGGTATCAACAATACTAAGTTATTCACAATAAGGGATACATTCTATTCAGGAATAGAGATATTATTATAGGTACTCATTTTTACTCCTTATTTTTCCTGTAAACATTTCTTAGCGGTTGGTTCTACTTCTGAGAGCTCGTCGTCCTCCTGAGCAATCAGGCTTTCAGCAGATCAGCGACGCTAGAAAAAAGTTCCTAATATCAATCTATGGCCGTGAAATTGACAATGACAACCTCGACGACCTACGGTACCAAGAATTCACACGATTAGTGACGAAGGATAAATTGCAACTAGCATACCATCAAGGGACGCTGCAAAGTATCCTGTTTTCCGCACTTACCAACAAGTTTCAGTATGTCTTGTATGGTAATTTCCATATTGCCTCTTGAGCTTCTTCGATGATCTGTTAATTTCACATCAGCAAAATCAATCCAATATCACTCAGAATAGCATGATTCAAATACTTTGAAGTCTCAGTATTCGTTCTAGGAAATCAGAAACCTTTCTCCGTTGAAATCATTTCATCATGGGATTTTTTCTATTCGTCTTCGATAGATCCCATCTAGAATAGTAGTCCAGTAGACAGGTAGTTTCTCCTACCGAACAAAAATTCACAATGGTAAATTTTCTTCTCTGATGAAAGCTAACCATATCAACACTAAAATGGTGTTGATATTATTCACGTTATATATTGATATCGTTCCTCCTCCTCATTATTCCAGAGCAGCAGCATTTTCGTGAAAAATAAAAAGGTATCAACAATATTGAGTTATTCACAATGAGGCTAGGGAATCCAATCATGGAAGCCCTCAATAAAGTGGAACAGTGGTGTTCCACCAGTGGATTGCGAGTCAATCCAGAAAAGGCGAACTTGGTCTTATTCACTAAGAAACGCAAAATAGGAGCACTTCCTGAGATATTTCTCTCGGGAAAGTGTCTCCAATATAAAAGCTCATCAAAGTACCTTGGAGTTATAATAGACTCCAAGCTCACTTGGAATGAGCATATTGCAAACCGCACTGAGAAGGCTGTATGCTGCTTCTGGGCATGCAGACGAGCCTTTGGAAAAACATGGGGTCTCACACCCAAGACCCTTCACTGGATATACACGGCAGTAATACGCCCAACACTCACGTACGGGTCCATTGTATGGTGGACCAGTACCAATAAGGGCAAGACCAACAGAGAACTGGATGAAGTCCAGCGACTGGCCTGCCTGGGAATAACAGGTGCTCTGAGAACGGCGCCTACCAGGGCTCTTGAAGTTCTGTTAGGTCTGCCGCCTCTACACCTGTTCATACAACACGAAGCCATGAGAACTGTTTACCGACTCAACGGTGCAAACCAGTGGGTCGGAACAGAAGCAGATCATGGACACTCCCTCATATGGAATAAGGCAAAGGAAAACTGTCCCATCCTCATGATGAGAAGGGATAATACCTTGCCAATTCTGAACTACAACAGAGCCCCAAACACTGTCATCCCTACGAGGGAAGAATGGAATGACACAACACCTGGCGTGCCTCCTCCTAATGAGTCAATCTGGTACACGGATGGCTCAAGATTTGGGGGCAGTTCAGGTGCAGGGGTATACAATGAAGAAAGAGGGAAAGAAATTTCAGTTCCTTTGGGCGAATATGCCTCAGTGTTCCAGGCAGAAGTACTTGCAATACTCACCTGCGTCCAAGAAAACCTAATTATGAGAGGTCGTAGACCAATCACTATATGCTCGGACAGCAAAGCTGCAATACTGGCTTTGCAATCCAATAGAATCACATCCAAATTGGTGTCCGAGTGCGGAAAAGCCTTAGAAAACCTGGCAAAATCAAGGAAAGTCAGCCTCATGTGGGTCCCGGGACATTCGGGAATACCCGGAAACGAGGAGGCAGACAGACTGGCAAAGATCGGTTCAGGACGGACCTCGGTCGGACCGGAACCAATCTTGGGAATACCAAATAGCCTGGCAATGTCCTCTATAGAGGAACAGCTGCAAAAGCAATTCCTCAAAATATGGCAGGACACACCAGGAATGAGACAATCGAAGCTCCACATGAAGGAACCTTCGAAGAGGCTCGCAAAAGAGGTTTTATTCCTAAACAGGCGAAACCTTAAAATGGTAGTGGGGCTCCTAACGGGGCACAACCACCTCAATAGGCACCTAGAGCTTATTGGGATCAAGGATGACCCCCTCCGCATATGGTGCCTGGAAGATGACGAAACGTCATCACATGTCCTCACTGAGTGTCCAGCACTGACGCATCAGAGGAGGGCTGTCCTTGGCAACATGATTTTGATGCCAGAGGACGTAAAAGAGATTCAGCTGAGGAAGCTGCTGAACTTCTCCAAGGCAGTCGGCATACCCAGCTGAATGTCGTAACATGTGGGCGCACAATGGGCCTGAATAAGGAGGCCCACGTGCAGGGGGTTCACCCGCCCACCAGTGCTTCGAAGAAGAAGAAGAAGAATAAGAAGATGAGACATAAATCATAATCAGGAATAGAGATATCATTATAGGTACTTATTTGTACTCTTCATACTTTCTGTTGGGATTTCTCAGCCGTTGGTTCTAGTTCTGAAAGCTCGTTGTCCTCCTGGGCGATCAGGCTGTCAGCAGATCAGCAACGCTAGAAAATAGTTCCTAATATCAGTTTATGGAGGTGAAATTGGCAATGACCCCTGATTTCTAGATACCGTCGCACCTCAACTTTATAATCAACGTTCCGCAACCAGTACCGTAAGACGATGAAATAAAGTGGTCATTTATTTATAGATTTTTCAGAATTTGACACTCGTTAATCTTGT